AAGCATAAAAACTCAACTCTGTCAGACAGGACCAAATCCGAGAAGCGATACCCAGCCTTATAAACACTTAGAGTAGCCCCATCGCTGCGACGTACCTCACGCGGGTTGCGCCTTAAATTACAGCGTGTAAGAAGTGCGGCAATTGATAAGGCCCGCCGCCCGTCGAGTGAGGTGGTTGGGCCGCGACCCTCCCGGTAATCTCTTCCCAATTTCAGCTTTGACCGCGGCGTTCCCGGTAAAATATACATGGGCCGCGGCGTGCGGGGCTGAAATTTCAAGGGCCGCGGCGCGCCATATAACACGCTTTGAGGCCGCGAACTTTCCGATGCAATTGTCTGAGCTGATGATATCAACGACAACGACGGACAAGAACGGCTTAAATTTATGCGGTCGATTTCCATGTTCATCTTCCATGTAGGTGCAGAATTTCAGCTCAGGCATCGGCGTGAAGCGAGTTGAAGCAAAAATGTCATTTAAGGTAAGAATTGGCAGCAGTGGCATATGCCGATGAGAAATCGATCGATTGCTGCAGCGAGGGATCTAGCAATTGCACCGAGCAATAGAACTAGAAAAGCCTACAGATCACTTATAATGAGAGAAGCGATATAAATTATAGCGTTTTCTACAGCACTTTTCTTACCATATGCCAAAAATGATCCAAAAATGTGATATTATCAGTGATAACTGATAAAATGTTTATATCAGTGATAAGGGTAAATAAAAAGTGCCCAATTCTTCGCGATAGTTTTCGATAATGAGAACTTCTTACCAGAACCTGTTATTCGCGATTTACGCTGTGATAAATGCTCACAAAAGGCTTACCATAGAAAATACCAAGGTATTACCATATGTCTACCGTGTCACCATGAATTACGGACATATTGTATATCAAAAGATTCGTCTCATCAAGCTGAAGCCAAATCTTCAGCAGATGACAAACAAAACTGTTTTGAAGGAAGTTATAACTAAATCCCGCATGTCCCGCAAATCCCGCGAATCCCGTGAATCCCGCGTACCTCGACAATCCCGCGAATTCCGAAAATCCCGCAATTTTGGATTCTATCGCTACAACTGTACTTAATCCTTTTAGATTCCTCTAATTGTAAGATAATGTTGCATCTTCAGTGCAGGTACTCCAATTTGTGCTTCTGTCTTGCACTCCAGCTTGAGATCCTGCTGAACTATTACCTTATATATAAAGCTGAATGTCTGTTTGTATGTCTGTCTGCATGTCTGTATGTCTGTCTGTATGTCTGTCTTACGTATGTTCCGAATAGAAAATTCCATTTCTGAACCGATCGGGACCAAACTTACAAGGAAAGGATAGTTGGATGCCGCGGCCATTCTTAATGATTTGTATACCAAGAAATGCGCCTTCGAATGCAGATTCTGAATCTGTGCTCGAAATCTGCGAAACGATCTTTTGAAGAAATTTATGAACTTTTTTCCTTGAAAATTTACCCTACTTTTGGATAGTAAAAATCACCAGATTTGATCTTGCCTACCGTTTGATGCTACTGAAGAAAATTTTACGTAGTAATCTTTATTTAGACTATCTGGATCATACTCAGCATTTGGAAAGGAGAGAAAAATTTTTATTGATGATTTTGACCCTCCGCAGGAACGCAATTTTTTTAATGAAAAAAAATCATAACTCCATTCAGATTATCGTTTCGCAGATATGAAAGACAGTCTACGAACCAGCATTTAAAAGCGCATTTTTTGGTATACAAATCATTATGAATGGCTACGGCATCCAAGTATCCTTCCCCTGTTAGCACACATACACTTTGGGCCCCGGCGGGTGTCATAGGCTACTTTTCGTCATCGATCGATATCGATATCGATCGATGACGAAAGTAGTGTATGTGTGCTAGGTTTGGTCCCGATCGGTTAAGAAATGGAATTTTCTATTCGGAACATACGGCGGAGCCGGGTAAGCCAGCTAGTAGATAATAAACATGTTGCACTCTCTCTTGACAAGCAACTAGAATATGAAACTTCATAACTAACAATTCTAGGTACTTTTGCTGGACTAAAATTCTACGTACTGCTGCTGGACCAAATGTTTAAGTTTGCAATCCTGACAAACCAATCAGTTAAGTATATTAGTTTCCTCCAGTATATTAGGTTTGCTAAAAAAAATAATTTCGGTCTCTTATGGCTCTTCAAAAGTTGCACACAAATTTTTGCCCATTGTCTGCTATTTTTAGACAGAGCACTTCAATGAGAATTGGGTATGAATTTTGTTTGAGTAAAATTTCTTTCACTATAAAGAAAAGGCGAAAGAGTTCATATACCCCAATTTCCTCATTGTGCGCAGATGTTAGAAGTTTTTTGTCAAAACATGTCAATATGGCAGGTCACATCTTTACATTTATTCGCTAAATAAAGAAAATTGGATGTATTAGGTTGTCCGGAAATTAATGCCCGTTTTGAATTTCAACGGCAATAAGTCATACACTTCTCGCTTCTAAATAGGTTGCAAAGTACCATTCGATAGAGCAAATCAAGCTCTACAAGATGACCATCTTGCTTTTGCAACAGCTCTCATCCATTTCGAGTTTCGAGCCAGAAGTTAAGAAGACTCAGCAGCCTGAAAAATCGAAAAAATCGTAACTCAGTCCATAAAAACCCTACACAAATTCTTACTTGCTCACGTAAACACTATCCACATAAAACATCAATATACGCCTTTGCCGTATTTTTTCCTTTGTTAGAAATCAAGAAAACTAAAATTTTCGTGCAACTGCCAAAGTGATGCTATGCTGTCCCCGCATAGGTAGTTGTATACTACAAACCTGTAGAAGCACAAACGTAAATTCTCAGCTTTCTACAAGCTTTAACTCTCGAGACATTTGAATTTTAGCTTGGACCACCTAACTAGGAAAAGCTATATTCGGCATTTCTCGAGAACCAGAGCTTGTAGAGAGCTGAAACTTCATCTGTACTTCTACAGGCTTGTGGTATACAACTACCTATGTGGGGACGGCACAGCATCATTTTGGCAAATGCATGAAAATTTCCATTTTCTTGATTTCTAACAGAGGGAAAAATACGGCAAAGGCGTATATAGATGTCTTATGTGGATAGTGTTTACGTGAGCAAGTAAGAATTTTTGTAGGAATTTTTTGAATTAAGTTAGAATTTCTTTCGATTTTTCGGGCTGCTTAGTCTTTTTAGTTTTTGGATCAAAACTTGAGAAGGATGATAGCTGCTGCAAAAGCGAGGTGGCCATTTTGTGGAGCTTGCTTTGCTCTATCGAATGGTACTTTGCAACCTATTTAGAAGTGAGAAGTGTATGACTTATTGCCGCTGAAATTTAAAACGGGCATTAATTTCCGGACAACCTATTACAAAATACCGATTGTTCATCTCTATGCCCATAACAGCATGACGAGGCAAAATTAAAACTGCGCTTTTGAAAATTCAACCATATTAACGCATAATCGTCTTCTGGTGACTAGAAATTTTGTGAAAAACTTCCACTCAAAAACTAATGGATAAAATACAGCAAGACAAGTTCCTTATGGAGATTTGTAGGGACGGAAGCAATTACTTTTTAGCCAACCTGATACTTACGCCAAACTATCGTCTTGAATTTTATAAACGAAATGAACGGTTCTAAACAGCTTACCAGTTTTTTTCAAAAGCGGACGCACGATTTCGGAAAAGCTAAGCGCTGTGGAACCAGGGTAGCTTGACGACGGATCTTGTTTTCCCAAAAAAACCCCCCAAAAGATGAGTAAAACCTTTGTGGATTTGAATATGATTAGCCCGCATGCAAGTCGGAAGTATGAAACACATTTTGGAAGTAAAGGAACTTAGCCACGTCTCCACACTCAATTTTGATTTTTTCAAAGACTCGTCGAGGAGAAAAGTAGTATCAAATTTAGCTTACCTTCTGCCATTAAAGGCAGCGTCTCGGCAAAAAGATGGGTGCCGGGTTTTTGTGACGATGTAAGGTAGACCCCCCACCTAAGCGATGACTGAAGTTCGGAGTGAAAGGGGGTCTACCAAGCCTGAAATTTGCTCCGAAAGTGGCCCGAATCTTACGGTAGGCCCTGACGCCGTCCACACAGCCATTTCGAACTGCAAGGCCAGAGTGCGTATAGCGCACACAGTTATGAGCGCAGGGTCCCGCAATGACTCTGCGTCTCTCCTTGCATGCATTTCGAACCCGTCCGGGCCTACATTCGGGCCACTTGGAGGGCGATTTGTAGACTTCGCAGACCCCCTTTCGCGCTGCAAACTTCTGTCGTCGTTTAGATAGGAGGCCTACTATTACATTATTAATAGAGCCAGGTACCCCCAGCCTGGTAAGACGCTGCCTTTAACACGTTTCGGACACTAAAAAAATCCTTGAAAGGCGCTTGCTGCACATGGTGCAGCAAGCGCCTTTCAAGGATTTTTTTAGTGTTTAGGGAGGTTTTCATTTTGTCCAAGGTCATCAAATCAAAGGCCCCTTTTCAAGCGACTCTGTAAGGCTGTGCCGCCGATATGTGTTTAGAAGATGTGACGGCACTTCGAACAACAATTGCAACGAAGTGCGGCAACGCGAACGACGTGTGCGACGTCGTAACTTTTCTTTGCTTCGATATCAAAGAGAAAAACTGTAGTTTCAATACTGATGTGTACTGTTCAAAACATAGATACTTTTGGATACAATAGAAAGTGAGTTCTTATTCCCATCTTTCAAGAAAGCACGGGAGTCCTTCTCAGACGACAAAATTCAAACACTTCGAATTCACTCAGAACTTTGGGTTGAACCTTATCTGGCATGCTGATTACAGATGTAGCACACAGTATACGAATTAAGGTCCCTTTGTTGGCTAACGGTTGAAAGTACCCTCTTTTTCGCCGCGCGCGATTTCGCGGTCCGAAACATGTTAGTGAGCTGCCGATCCTCATCCTGCCATGTCGGGAAACTTGTGCATTAAACCTTGAATAGGTAAGGCGATCAATTTCCTGATCTGCGGGCTAATGGGTGAAATCATGAGATGGCCAAATGGTTGTTGCATCGCTTGAATGACAAATGGGGCTGGTTAGGAATGAGGCTGGAGGTATGAAGAAGCGGGTGTTAGTAAACTAGTGGAGTATATCCCATAGAAGAAGATAATTTTTTACTATTGTTTACTGGTAACATTTTTCTCGACGTAATTTTTCTTGCTTTTCTCTACGCCATTGCGATATGAATGACTGGGATTAGAAGTCGTGTCCTACTTAGCACCGAGGTCGATATGCGTTTCTGAAATATTGAATACTCGACGGCAGGGAGCCGCGCGCATCGGTTCAAGTGCGACATCTGATTGCAAGCGTGCGGGAATTTCAAATCGTAAGGAATTCAGTTCTTGCGAGGAATGTGGGATATTTGGATTTTCAAGTGATTATAATGGGGAAAGAATGAATTTAGCGCAATTTACAATTTAGTAGATTTGATGAGCTCTATAGTGTGACAACATTTGCGTTAACTGACAATGCGCGCATTATGGTCGTTGTTATCTTCAAATCACAAGCAAGTTGTAAGCATTCACAGGCGTTGCGTTTGTTTCCGCACAAATGTTGTCCTCACCGCAAGGACACTATAACAGCTGTCAAATCTACCGCAAATCTATAGAAGTGACGTTGGATGTAAAATTCTGTAAAAAAAATCTTTTAGGGTGTAAATAACTTGGCCATGCAGAATTTACGACCTCCTAAAAATTGATTGATGAGCTAAAAATCATCGACAGGTATCTTTTCAAAACAATTTTTATTTTATTTATTTTACTTATTTATTACGCCAAAGGCGCGCTACAACAGCAAATTAGTAACCAGCAGATGAGAAAAAACAGTGTTAGAACTCAAACAACAGAAAAGGTACTACTGCATATATTATCGAATAGGGACATTCGTCGATTTAGGTCCAATATAATAGAAAAAGGCATTAAGGTTTAGCTATAAGAAGCTGCTATAAGAATTGTTCACATGAGTTCGGGCATGCCACCCTCGCTCGACCAGCAAGCGATCTAGTTTCCACGAGTATGACGTAGACAATGAAAATGAAATTGGGTATGGTAGCTCAACAAAACTAGGCAACACCCGCGCTACCGACATACTGGATGAGCCACAGACTTATTAGAGATGAATGGAAATGAGCTCGAGAATAAATATACTCGGGCAGTCTTCGTAGGCTAGCCTTAGATAACCGCTCAAAGAAAATCAGACCCAAACCGTACAAATGTGTTCCCGATCAACTTCCATTAGAGAGAAGCAAAATCAACAGAAAACTATCATGTGAACAAAACGGAACATCTATCAAAGAACTAAAGCGAAGTTATGCACTGAATCACCAGCCCAACGTGAGTTGTCAAACAATAGAGGCGAAATATGAGGCCAACCGAGAGCAAAGATCTGAAAAAGAAAAACGAGGAAAAACAGCCAAAAAAGAAGAATAAGCTAAACTCCCTTGCAAGCATTTCAGACTAATATGACAGAAGTGCAACCGCCAAAACTAGCAGGCAGCAGAAGCTCAGCCATATTCTGGAAGGACACAGACAAGAAAAGCGAAAAAAAAAGACAATAAGAAAAAGGAACTTAACATCTAGAAGTTAATCAGACTCGTCAATCCCTAACAAACTCAAAGCATCACATTTCAAAAGTTCTCCAAAGGTTTTTGAGTTAGCAGAAGACAAAACAGAATCTGGTAAATTTTGCATCCAGCGTGCAGTGCGAACAAAAAAGGAAATGCAAAAAAGAATTTGAAAGCTGAGAAGCTTCTGTTACAGAACAACAAAGATTAAACCTACCTGTCCGTCCATGGCAAGGTTTCCACACCCAAAATTCACTGGGCAAAAGTTTGGTCTCAAGACGTATGATTTGAAACGCAAGGACTAAATCGGCCACCACCCTTCGGTAAAGCAAGCTATGGAGTTTGAAGCATTGCAACCTGCATCTGTAGGATGGAAGGGCAGCAGGGTAATTGTCATTAGGAAAAAGTCTATAGAAAAGGTCTATAGTAAATGTCATCTGAATCTTTTCTAAGGTCAGAATATCTTTTTTATGTATGGACTCCATACTTGGCTAGCGTATTCTAAATGCGGAAGGACATAAGCCATATACGTTCTAATGTAAACATTCTCAAACATGCCTCAAGTTACGCAGCAAAAGAAACATTCTGTACAGGGCCGCACGTGCTATTTTCTCAAGATGGGATCTAAGTCGAAAGTCATGGTCCACAGAACTCCAAGGTCTCTTATAAGTTCAGGTCTAGGGAGAGAGGTGTCAGAGTCCCCATAATCTTCAAAAGTGCATTTATCCACCCTTTTTCTTGATCGTCAAGCAAGCACTTTTAGTTAGGTTCACATCAATATTATTTGTAGTTGCCCAGTGTAACATATTTTGCACTGAATTTTGTAGGCACTGTGTTACTTCCTCCCTATCAGCCTCCGTATATGATGCAAATGCTTCGATGTCATCAGCATAGGCCATAATCTTAACTCTTGCCGGTAGATAGGAGGCTAGGAAGATCACTTGTATAGATATTGAAAAGGACAGGGGACAGTACACCACCCTGTGGCACACCACTTGTTGCTGGAAAAATCGAAGAGGTAGCAGAATTACAGAGGACGGAAAAGGTTCTATCAGACAAAAGATGAAAGCCATTTCAAAAGAGGGCCATGAATTCCCACACCAAAAAGCTTTTCAATCAATTTGGGAATGTCCACTCTACCAAAAGCTTTGGACAAGTCAAAATAAAGAACATCAGTGGCTCGGTTTAGAGATAAAGCTTTTTTTCCAGTAATGTCCACATACCAATAGTTGAAGGGTACTTGAGGAGCCAGCAATAAATCCAGATTGTTCAGCAGGTATGAGATGGTTCTGTGCACAATATGTCAATAATTTTCTTCTAATAATCTTCTCAGCAACTTTACAAACAACAGAGTTAATAGTTATAGGCTGAAATTCGGTAACTTTACGCGGGTTCTGAACTTTTGGCACTGGTACAACCAGGGTTGAGTTTGGGGTCAGGCGCGCCCGACCTGGGGGGTAGTATTGGGGTAAGACTGGGGGGTCGTAATCAAGACGAATTCACAAAATCGAAGGAATGTACATTGAGAAAGGTGAAAAAGAAGAGCGCGAGATTAGTGAATATCTTCCACCTTAGAGCAAACGACTGTCTTTAATTGCATATTGACTCCACCAACGAAGTCTCTGCCAAACTTAAGTCACCAAAGAGGTTTGCTGTGTAAAGTGGGTATGATTTCCATAATCAGCATGCCAAATTACCTATACAAGTTCTACAAATCATCACCTATTACGTTTTCTAGTGTTTCCTAACGTCTAGAAATCGTAATTTTCAGACATGATTAACTTGGTGACGAAAGTAAAAGAAGTCTGCTTTCTTGTGCTCAAAACAAAGTAATACTCATTATTAGTCTATGGTAGAAATTAGATCTTCTATCGCTCTCAAAAAGTGGGTCAAGAAGTGCTGCCAAAATTTCAATCACCGCGTTTCCCACCTTGAGTGCTTCAACTCCACCGATCACCACAAAGGCGAAACAAGTCCAAGTAGGTTCACACCTACTGTAGAATCTTCTAGGTTTGTGCTAGCAAATCACATAAAACTAAAGTGGAAAAGATTCTTTGGTAATAAAGTTAATCGGGTCAGGCGCGACCCCTCAAAAGCTCAGGCCGCCTGAGCTTTTGAGGGGTTGCGCCTGACCACATTAACTTGTCTTTAAACAGCCCAAAATTCTCCACTGCTTACTCAAACCCTTGGCTAAACCTTTCTCTCCTCGCAACAAAATTTTTGTCGGATTTTTTTACCTTTCCTATGAGTTATTGATGTTTTACTCTACCCATCTGCCGAAGAAAATCGTCGGTAATCCCTGCTAGATTTCGTCCTACTGTAGGGAACGCGAACCTGCAAATTTTCTGCAGATTGCAAGACGCGGCTTCATTTTTCGACGCATTCTTTCCGTCGCTCTTCTCCGTTATTCCTTTTCACCCTTTGAACTGTTTGTTTATTTGGCAAATAGACTTAGGTACTTGTTGTACTTTGCTCGTTGACCTTCAGTCGCAAACGCCTATATTTCTACTGTTTCCTTTGCATCTCCCAACGCAGCTTGGTAACCTGGAGAAGGTCACTATTTCTGACAAATGCGTTTGCTTGCGTTCCGTTTGCTCACTTGTCTTTCATAATCTGTGAGACTGGCAACATATTATTATGTGCATTGGTTAATGACGTTTTGGAGTGAAAATTTCAAAAGTAGGAGCTTTTCTTTTTACTTTTCAGTTCTTTCTTACGTGTAGCCCTTCTGCTGACATCTTAATTTTGTTTAAATTGGCATAGCATGGGTACGCTACAGTGCTCTGTTTGAATTCTCGCTGTAGAGTCCCCGCATTAATTCTGAAAGCTCTGTTACATTCCGAAACTAGGCTGCCTTTTGATATAATCAATTTGAATTGAAACTTGCAGGAGCTTTGTGGTTGGAGGGAGGGACGTTCTGTTTGTTGTTCTGTTGATACTGCAGTACTGTTGCTGATACTTGCGGTTGCGGCTGCCGATGCTTTAGTCAACAGAACGGTCAGTTCTTTTATGATGTTCTAAATGAAATCTTCTTCGTGATCTTTGATGTTTTCTAGAACTCGCAGAAGAGCCTGGCTCTGCTAAAAGGTGTCTGTGCTAATGAATTTTAAGACACACGAATGGGGTAGGAGCATACGATGTATAATTGTTCTTTCTCGCTGCCTGGAATACAGAGACTTGCACATGCAGAGATTTACGATATTTGCTAAGATTGATGAAATTCCATTGTCTTCTCAATGTTCAAAAATTACTCTGCCTTATGTTTCTTTGGCTCTTATATGATTCGTTGTAGGTGTTGTGAACTAAAACAGCAGCTCTGGTGAAGTGTTGAGCCTTCAGATTGAAAAAGATGGTTTTGATGGCACAAGCAGAATCGACACATAAAAAAATACGTTCACGTAGGTTTTTGAATCTTTTATTCTTTCCAGATTCTTTTTATACTTTATTTGGTATGCAGTCCATATCTCTGGAGCAGAGTTTGCGTCGTGCCTTGGGCAGATTCCATGCGATTTCATCGCCTCGCATTCCTCTTACAAGGCAACTGGTACAATCCATTGCATACCGATCAACTTGCAAATCGGTTGTGAAGGTTATTCAAGACTGGCCGTGTCGCGAAACTATGAGAACCGAATTGTAAGCTGACCGGCATGCAATGGACTCGTGGCAGTTGTCTTGTGGAAGAATTGCGAGGCGATGAAATAGCGTGAACTCCGCCTGAGGCCTTAAAGGTAGTATTCTTTGTTTTAGTACCAGAGAATAATGCGCATCCAGTTTTTAGTACGTTCATCGAAATTCGTATGGTTTTGGTGCGGCGTTGCAAGACCACTTCCGCAAACGTTTGCGCCGTTTAAATGATGTATCTCGCTAAATTTATTCAACGATCTTTGAAACTTGATGACATTGAAGTCCTGAAATTACCCTTGTGCCGTAAAAGCTGGTGCTTGTAATATGAAGTTGTGGTCAACTGCATTGTTTCAGAAGAATCGAGGGGAATTGGAGTTGGCCAAAGTCCAAATTGAACAGAAGTGGATTACTTACGAGTTTGTCATAAGTCTCTTCGCTCACAGGGGACTTGTGTTTTTCTTAGTCTGCTTAACGGCGGTAAAACATCCCCTGTGTAAAGCTAGCAAGGTATAGTCATCTTTGCGCATTGCTTTTTGCTTTATGGGTTTCTTTTGCTTTAATTCCCGTCTCCTTTTTGCTCATTGGAAAATTTGAGGCCTATCCGCTTACCGTCAAGGTCTTGGTCGTTGACCACACGGACTGGCCGTAAATTGTGGAGCACGCGCCGGTTGAAGCGCTTGTACCAGTACAAATCGTTACTGTACAAAACCTGCTCTCGCAACAATTCATCCGCTCCGCGCTTGCTCCGCAGTCTACTGCCAGTCCATGCGCTCGACGACTCGACAAATATGGTGTACTCAAAGCCTTTAGTCCATTGATTTCAGCATCTGCCCACGGTGCATTCAAACTGTTTCGCTTTCTTCTCTCTTTCATCCCATTCCCTTTCAGGTGAACCCACTACTTGCCCAGTCTGCGAGGTATCGTTGTCGTCAATCAGCTCACAAAATTTCGCGTTCTCCGTGGAAACATGACTATAGATATCGGAAGTATCCCATTGCTTTTCAAACACATTGAATCTTAGCAGGTACACAAGCGCACAAGTTGGAAGCTGTTGTCTTTTGCTTTCCTATAATAAAAGATGTTGACTGTATCTGTGACATTTGCAAATAGAAAAAGTGGGAGAGAGGGAGGGGGAGGGTGGTCGTATCTAAACACCTGCTTGAGGGGGGGGGGGTCGTATTCGTCGGACTGTGCCTGACCTCTTGCTCAACCCTGGGTACAACTCTTCCTTGCTTCCATATATTTGGAAGCTCACTAATGGGAGAGGGAGATTAATCAGTATAGAAACGGGGATTGCCAAATGATTGGCACACTTCTTGAATACAATCTGGGGAACACCATCAGTAGTCAAAAACGTGGATGACTTCAATTTCTTTAGAAGGCTAGCTGTTTCCCAAACAATGACACTACAGAAAAGTTTTTGTCGATGCTTTTTTTCCTTGAGAAGAGAAAAGAATCTTTTTTTTTCAAAGAACTGAGTGACTATGATTGTTCATTTTCCATCGACTTATCGTGCTTCGTAGGGCGAAGAGAATTACTGGAAAAGAAATGTCTAGAAGTTGATCGAAAGCAAGATAAAAGGACTCATAAAATAGTCTTCATTAGTGAGATGTCTGTCAGGTGATCTACACCATTTGAACTGCTCCTTTTCGCAAAGATTTTGGTCATCATTCTTCCAGTTTGTTCACTCATTCTATCACAAACTGGTTATCACAACGATAGTATTGTGTGTTCGACCCATCAAAAATTATGGCAGGATAACTTTGTGAACTTGAGTCGTTCTTTGTGTTTCCATTGGGCAACTCAAGGTTTTTTGTTGCCTATTCGATTGGGAAATGTCCTTTCCGTGAACTCTGGAGTCCCAATATTTATTTTAACTGGGAGCACTTGTATAATTCATACTTTTCATATGATTTTCGAACTAATGGAAGAGAGGCTGCGTCGACAGACGAAGTTCTCGTCACAACAAAATCATGGCGAATCTTTCTAGCGAGCAAAACTGCAAAAAGACGCAAGAAGATAGTGTGTCTACGCGACGCAGCCGCAGTGCGACCGCGAGCGTTTGTCGAATCTAGTGAGTGGCCTTTGCATGGTCTTTATTATTATTATTATTATTATTATTAATATACTCAATTGAAAAAGTGGTAAAAACGATAATTTCGGAATGAATGGGCATTTGCGAATAATATGCACGGAAAGATGGAAAATTCGCTCAATCTTATATATAAAGCTGAATGTCTGTTTGTATGTATGTATGTATGTCTGTCTGTATGTATGTGTGTACGTATGTTCCGAATAGAAAATTCCATTTCTGAACCGATCCGGACCAAACTTGGCACACATACACTACGGGCCCCGGCGGGTGTCATAGGCTACTTTTCGTCATCGATCGATATCGATTTTATCGATTTTTATCGATTTTTTTGCTGAGTTCACCTACGGAGCTGGGAGTTGGCACAGGGGGGTAATCGAGCATGGGGATTCCGAATACAATATTGGTTCCCAGGATTATCGATTACTTTTATCGATTTTATCGATTTTTTTGCAAAGTTTGAGCTACGGGGCTGGGAGTTGGCACAGGGGGGTAATCGAGCATGGGGATTCCGAATACAATATTGGTTTTCAGGATTATCGATTACTTTTATCGATTTTATCGATTTTTTGCAAAGTTTGAGCTACGAGGCTGGGAGTTCGCACAGGGGGGTAATCGAGCATGGGGATTCCGAATACAATATTGGTTTTCGGGGTTATCGATTACTTTTATCGATTTTATCGATTTTTTGCAAAGTTGGAGCTAGGGGGCTGGGAGTTGGCACAGGGGGGTATTCGAGCATGCTGATCATCCCCAAGGGGGGTGATCAGCATGCTCGATTACACCCCTGTGCCAAATTCCAGCCCCCTAGCTCAAATTTTCAAAAAATCGATAAAATCGATAAAAGTAATGGACAATCTTGAAAACTAATATTGTATTCGTAATCTGCATGCTCGATTACCCCCTGTGCAAACTCCCAGCCCCGCAGGTCAAACTTTACAAAAAAATCGATAAAATCGATAAAAGTAATGGACGATCCTGAAAACTAATATTGTGTTCGTAATCAGCATGCTCGATTACCCCCCTGTGCAAAATCTCAGCCTCGCATGTCAAAATTTACAAAAAATCGAGAAAATCAATAAAAGTAACCGATAATTCTGAAAACTAATATTGTATTCGGAATTCCCATGCTCACTTCCCCCCTGTGCCAACTCCTAGCCCTGTAGGTAAACTCTGCGAAAAAATCGATAAAAATCGCTAAAATCGACATCGATCGATAACGAAAAGTGGACTGTGACACCCGCCGGGGCCCGAAGTGTATGTGTGCCAAGTTTGGTCCGGATACGGCGGAGCCGGGTAAGCCAGCTAGTGACTTTTAAGGAAGTTATAAGCGTTTCAACAAATCAAGTAAATGAGTAGTGAATGAATGTGGAGAACAACACTCAAATGAAAACGATATGTCTTCAATGCATATCGATCGCAATCGCACGAACTTTGATCCTGTACATAGAACAAAATCAATATCCATCAAAAGCGTTAACGCTATGACAACGTTGTCTTTGCAAGTCAAAGTGCACTTCTGCACGTAATCTCATCTGTACTCGTCAATGCGTTTTTGCAACTAGGTTCTTGCACAATTTCCTTATTTTCTACGTATAGCCAAGGTCATGTCTCTTTTTCAGCTTTTGGAGATTCGTCAAAAATCCTAGCGGGATTATGCTTACAAAGAATAGTGGTTGAAGGAGTACAGATGGATGTTCATTTGAGTAATAGGCTTATTCTCTTGCAATCTAAGGTTGGCGGAAGTCAGAAAAAAATGCAAGCATACGATTACTCTGGGTAAAGGTTTTAATTGTAGACCTCTGGCTTGTGAACAATATAGAAGCTAAGCTGATGCCAGCTCTACAAAATGGTAACTAAAGCTGGCAAAAAATTTCTTGGGAAGAGAGATATTAACGATCAAACAGTCTATACATATTGTGTTGATTTAATTGTTGAGCCAGTCCGAGATTGGTAAATATATTTATTAGGCTGACGTCTCAGCTATGTCGCCTTCTTCAGAGCCTGAAATGGGCGACAACAATCTATAAACTATCCGACCAAGCATCTCCTCAGCCTCACAAACAAAATTCTAAGCTTTCTTTCGGATCACAGGCAAGCCGCCACACGCAATACTCACCTTTTCGATCGCCGGCGAAATTCTCGAGTATAAACAAGCGCTAACTGATAACGTAAGTGAATGATTGAACATGTCTTCACCGGATCAGAAAATCTGATCTAGATATGGTGCTATGGCGCTCGTTTATACTTGAGAATTTTACCGGCGTTCGAAAAGGTGAGTATTGCGTGTGGCGGCTTGCCTGTGATCCGAAAGAAAGCTTAGAATTTTGTTTGTGAGGCTGAGGAGATGCTTGGTCGGATAGTTTATAGATTGTTGTCGCCCATTTCAGGTTTTGAAGAAGGCGACATAGCCGAAACGTCAGCCTAATAATATTTACCAATCTCGGACTGGCTCAACAATTAAATCAACACAATATTCATCATGCCGAGATTTAAAGACAGTCGCACTTTTCAAGCCTATACATACTTTTAGGACACCTTGCATATGCCTAAGCTGGCTTTGGGAGAAGCACTTTTTGTGCAATATCGATATCATATCGATATACTAGGCTGTTGCATAAGTTCTGTCCGATTTGAATTTTTGAGTTTAAAATGTCATAACTTCTTTCAGAGTCAACTTTTTTCCAAGGTCTTAGTTTCTATGTGTTGAGCAGTCCCTTGGCTAAAAAATGCATATTGAGATCTGCGCAAATCTTTGTTAAGGAAGAACCAAGAATGCAAAAACTTCGTCTTTTTTGACATGGTAACGCTCCCTTATGAAAATTGATAGGCATCTTTTCTAATAATGGATGGATAGAGAAATTTTCGTAGATTATTGTGCAACATAAAAGAGCCCATAGGGTTTGCGCTGCCGAGAGATTTTCTTGACCGAACAAAATTAGCCACTTTTTGACCTCGCTTCAGCACATGTGTGCATGCCTATTTATGAACTACGAACGTTTTACAACTGACGTGAGCGCCGAAAAGGAATTGGTGGATGGGCCCTGTTAGTTCTTGCTTTGCCCTAGCACCTCCAACTTTGAGCTTGTCGATTACTTCTATTCGCAGAAAGTTATTGCTTGTAAAACATCTATACCAAAGATTTATGTTCGAGGATAAATTTCACTAGCAAGACGTATTCTTCATGGGACCGAACTTCTGCATATACTAGCATTCCAAACCCTTATTCCGAAGCCAATGAAAGAACCTGACTTGAAGGGCGCATTGTGGAGATATCCTCGCAAGGACATATTTCTAGGGATAGAACGTACCTCGGCCACTTAGAGATTTTAGGCCTGTGATCTCCGTACACTAAGAATTTTATTGAATTCTGGTATGCTTTAGAAAGCGCAAGGAAAGCACTTTTCAATGATACCAACCGTATCGAATTAGAGATGAAATTCTCTTAGAACAGCTGCTTCAAACATGAGGCAAAAAAATCGGACAGAACTTATGCAACAGCCTAGTATACAGGGTGTCCCAAAAAAATGTTTCGAACGTTTGATCGTTAATACCTCTCTTCCCAAGAAGTCTTTTGCCTTGCATCAGGTACCGTTTTGTAGAGCTGGCTTCAACTTAGATTTGCATTATAGAACGAATCACCCATCTCTCTTCATTACTGTAGGGTTACGGTAGAAACTTCAAAGAGGGTTTTGAACCATGAAAGGCCATATTTTGCCTCAGAAAGGAGACAAAACAGCCTGAAAACATTTACACTAGGCTAATTGGAGTTGCTGATTTTAAGTGTAAAGCTTCCACCCTATTATGATGCTTCATTGAAGAGTTATGCCAGGTGAGAGGTAGCGGCCTTCTTTTCAATGTTCCTAAAAAGTGCGATTACACCGTTTAGAAAGCTTCGCAATCTCATGAATAGTCGAGTATTGAATTCAGCGTCTATAAAAACCCTATTACACAAGTTTTCACATTTTTTTTTTGAAAAATTTTGAAATGGCAGCTTTTTACACATTGACACCATATGTTTCAAGTTCCTACCGTAATCCTACAGTAATGAAGAGAGATGGGTGATTCGTTGCATAGTGGAAATCTAAGTTGAAGCCAGCTCTACAAAACGGTACCTGAAGCAAGGCAAAAGACTTCTTGGGAAGAGAGATATTAACGATCAAACGTTCGAAACATTTTTTGGGACACCCTGTATATCTCAAACAGGCTGAGAACACCTACATCAACATATGTCCCGTCTACACAAAAGTTTCAAATTTGCAGGCAATTTTGTTGATTATGGTCATTTCCATCGAGTTAAAGTGCAAAATTTTGCATGATTTCTCAGAACAGGGAGTTCTTGGAGGCGTGAAGTGCAAGGATATTGCAACGAAATTGGAGATCTGTCTTCCAATTTGTAAAGTGATCAGTCATTTCAGTTTTACTTAGGGCCGCATGCACTAACCTCCCCGCTGGGGAGGGGATCGCAGCTTAAAAGAAAGCTTTATATTTCGAAACTCCAGATACCTGGATTTCACATTGTGTACCTATCCGTAAGTATTCCTGCTACCCTTCACTATGAACATGTTGAACAGGAGCAAGAAGCTGTACGAACCGCATTTTCCAGCTTTTGTATAATCCCTGATGATCCCCGGCGCTTTTCTTCAAAGTCATTTTTCTTTCTCCGAAGTTAACGAAAACCTTCCAAAGTTGTATTGAACATCTAACACAACAGTGCTAAGCATGTTGCTGATGAGAACAAATGAGTTTTTGAAAAGTCGAATTTTTCGGTAAACCTCAAATTTCGACCTGTGGATCATCGAAAATTTCATGACTTCAAAACATCATTTGTTCTTATCAGCAACATGCTTAGCACTGTCGGGTTAGATAATCTGCACAACTTTGGAGGTTTTTCGTTAACTTCGGAGAAAGAAAAATGACTTCAAAGAAAAGCGCCGGGGATCATCAGGGATCATACTAAAGCTGGAAAATGCGGTTCGTACAGCGTCTCGCCCCTCTTCAACATGTTCATAGTAAAGGGTAGCAGGAATACTTACGGATAGGTACACAACATGAAATCCAGGTATCTGGAGTTTCGAAACATAAAGCTTTTTTCAAGCTGCGATCCTCTCCCAGCGGGGATGTTAGTGCATGCGGCCCTTAAACACACAACACAATATTTGAACAAAAACCCCTGGTGGTGTATCAAATAATTTCTAAGCGTCGATTTCGATCACGCCAACGGTCTAATAGCAGCTCCTCCTCCAATTTTTATTGGACTTGGACCTCTCAGTCCTGGTCTTATGCCGGCCTGCTCTCCAATTACTGGGCATCAACATCTGTCCCCTTCACCACATCAACATCTGTCCCCTTTACACAAAAAAATTATGTCAAAGCTGCAGACAATTCTGTTGAATATGGAGTCGTTTCCATCGAGTTAAACTGCAAAGTTTTACATGATTGTTCAAAACGGGGAGTTCTTGGAGGCGTAAAGTGCAAGGAAGGTCGCAACGAAGCCGAAAATGTGTCTTCTAATTTGTGCGTCTTCGTTCAACACGAAGAAAATGATCAGTAAAACAATTTTAGTCTTACTTACATACACAATACAATAAATGAAGGGAAAACATATGGTGGTGTATTAAATAATTTCAAATGATAATCATAATTTCTAAGCGTCAATCTTATCACGCCAGCGGTCTAATAGCAGCTCCTCCTCCAATTGTTATTGGACCTGGACCTCCCAATCCTGGTCTTATGCCGGCCTGCCCTCCAATTACTGGGCCTGGACCTCCTATTCCCGGTCTAATACCAGCAGGTCCTCCGATCATTGGTCCTGGCGGCTGTATCTGTATTCTGTCTCCTCGTGGTGGCTGTATTTGTATTCTGTCTCCTGGTGGCGGATGTATTTGTATTTTGTCTCCTGGTCCGATACCAATTCCTGGACGTATCCCAGCTAGTCCTCCGATTACTGGTGGCGGTTGCCGTTTAGTACGTTGACTGTAAAGGTCAGATATATTGAACTGAGGGCTTTGTAGTTGGTCTTCTACGCCGCAGGTATACTGGTTTTTAATTTACTTCATAATTTGTGGAAAAAAGGTGCGATGGTCGCTTGAGTCGGGTGACAACAGCGTCCTTCCCTATATCTATACCTATCCCTATAGTATACCTGCGCTTTGGAGTGAAAAATTCCGAATCCAAAGGCACTGTCCACCTCAAGAGTGGCGTATCTTCTATTAGGTTGAACCGTAGGTTCTGTCCCACAATCATGACTTTTTGCTGTATTAACATTGGAGTGAAACTAATTTTGGTGAGTGAAAACCATTCTCTCTGCAACACTTATGAAATAAGCTATTGAGAAAAAATACGAGAGATCCAAGCGATCCAAGAGGCTTGAGAGTCTGGCATTTTTTATGCAAAGTCTTTAAAAATACTGAAAGAGGGCAAAAAAGGCAAAGTGGACACAAAATCTGCACTTATATTCCTTACACACGTTGACTTGCTACGTGATCTGTTGGACTCAAATTCCCTAAACCCGACGAAAGCAATTTTCTGCTGTTTTTTCCCCCTGATTGGTCATATGAATGTGAGGTGTGAGGCACTGTTTTGATAACTTTTTTCATCGCTTCCAGACACCTCTTACAGAAATAGAATTAGAATACTCAATTATATGATTCAGAATGTTATTGATAATCTTGAATTTGTTTTGGTGATTGTTCATGCTGCGCTTTTTCGAGAGATCTTGGTTAGAATTGACATTTATAAGAAAAACAGCAAAAAATTTCACTTTTCTCGGTTTCGATTGTGAGTCTACCTCTGCGCGTAGCCAGCCGCCGAGTGCGTAGCAAGTGGTACCCAGGCAGCTGCTGCCGCAGCCAGAGCTGGCATTAGGGCCGCCGCATATCATCTCTCTATATAAAGCGCAGGAGGGGGGGGGGCCCATCTGACGTCACGCTGCTGGGACGATGTCAACAATTCCGTCTGTCTCGAATGCACCCACTGCACTCAAATTTATGACTCATTTGCTTGAGCCTACTTTCGAGTTGTTGATCAGTATGCCCTTTCATAAAACTCTTAAAGCGGTAGAATCGATTAACTACATTACCAACAAACGACAGCCTCCCCGAAATGCATGAGCAACAAAGATTTCCTTGGCTCAGCAGCTGAAAGCAGAAACACGCTTCGACGGTAGAATTCCATGAAACAATTAGTAGCCTAGAGATGAATTGGAAAGTGAGTATAGGCCAGTTTGGCAGAAATTTCATGGGTGGTTTGACAGTTCGACCTCTATAGAACACGAACGGGTAGTTTTGACTGTAAGATTTTCTTACTTGAAAAGAAGATGCGCACGTTTCCAGAAAAGATACTTTGCGAAGAGAAAGAGGTAGTTTATAAATTCAAAAAACTGTAGATTCAAATGTTGTAGTGTTCGCTAAATAGCTTCAAAAATGTAAGTTGAAATCTCTTGCTGATTTGATCTATCAATTCAAAAATAAGAAAACTCGAAGGAGTTTGGGGGGGGGAAAGGGAATGGAGGTTCCGTGCAAGGAGTGACACCCAATGTGAGAGGCAGGACCCCGGATGGGAAGAGCAAGGAAGTGGTCGGCTGGGAGAACTTCGTCGAGTGTGAGACAGTCACATCGGCCAGATATACTTTTTGAAGTCTGTAAAAGTTAGGAGTATCCGGATGGCAGCAAAATGTCGAAGGAATGATAACTTTGTCAGGTACATATGTCTCAATTGCAATATGGCTGAAACCTTCGACGGAAACGCGCGCCCGCATCGCAAGGTTTGCGCTGCATTCGCCCCCATGGAATCGTTGTCGAAGAAAATGAGGGAATGGAGGTTGAGAGTTTCCAACACTGCTATTTGCATCAAACGCAGACGTGATGCTGAACCATGGCTTGAGCAAACGTGTAAGCGGCGCATTCGAATACAGAAGTTTCGAGGCATGACCCGAAGGCGATTATGTTAGATCTAAGAAGTGTAAGAATGAAAGATTAGTAGATCAGGGATTTCATCTAGAATTCGTGCAAAAAGGACTTGGTGGGGGAGAGGGGAAAGAAGGCAAATTGGCTAAAAGAAGGACAATGCAGGCTTGCAAAAGGCATCAGTATACAAGACTATCTACCCGTGTAGAGCATAGGAGGAAACAGAGGTGCGGATAAAAGAAGTTGGGAGAGAGCAGTCAAAATTCTGTTGACACTTTTGTTAAGAAAACTTCGGAACTCAACAGCAGGAAAGATTCGTTACCCTTGACTTTGATAATCTCCTAGATTAAGTGTCAAAAAAATCTTACCGTATTTTGAGGAGGAAAAGGTTCTCTGCAGAACTTTGTAAGTTCTAACTTTTGATTTAATTACATCGTACTTTACACACACAGCCAATTCAAAGCGCCGCGAAGCGGCGCTTTGAACTTGTGGTAAAATAATTACGCTAGCCGTCTGAAATTTCCTGCCGAGATGTTTCCTCTCACTTCGTCTCGCTGAGCGATATCAACCTTAGGGACAGCCCGATATTCAATATTTATATCACTTTAAACAGCAAAAATTCTATTTTCTCTGAAAAAAAAACAAAAGAAAATGTGCGCAGAGTAGAGTTTTCCTAAAGAAAAACGGTTATGAAGTTCAATTCCTCAATTAAGCAGAAGTTAAGATAATTCAAAATGCAAAAAGTATTAGGTTGGTGCAAAAGTGATGCAGGTTTTTAGTCCTTGTTTCATGTCAACTTTTCTCCATCAAACCTTCCCCTTTGAAAGAAACTTAGCACACTGTCAAGAAACACCTTTCATGCCCTATCTAACGGTAGTTAAAAGGCACTTCATTCGTTAAAAATTAATAAAGCTCCACACAACCGCACTCGAAAGAAAAATTTTGAAGGGAGTTATGATCATTTAAATACGAGGATTCAGAAAAAATTCTGTTTGCTTATCAGTCCATATTTTTGTGCGCATTTGTGATATGAGCACAGTGGATGTGCGCTGTACTGAGAAAGGTTTGGTGCCTGTGATGGTCTTTACCGTACTAAATTATGGATATTTAGAAAGTTATAGCACATAAAATTGAAAACTCGCAAAACGCGCACTACTTTTGCACCAACCTAATATTTAATCAAAATATTTTTCTGGGAATCAAAATCGGAGGAGAACGTACGAGACATGACGAAAAAAGTCTGAAAATTAGCATTTCAAGACTTAGTGTTGTTAGGCGAGGTGAATAAGTCAAGGTAAGTCAAATAGATGAGTCAAAGAGGTAAAAAATTGAGTAGTCACTGATAAAAGGTGGAAATATTTCACATATGCTGATATAAAAGAGAAGAGCGTAATTATTAAGAACTTATTGGGTTGTAAGGAAAATTTTCGAACAGTTTTGAAAATTTCATTTTCCAATACATTTTTTCCCCATTCGGTCGAATTTTTACAATAATTTGTGCAACATCTTGTAGTAGACAGCTTAAGCTCTCTAATGTTTCTATTCATCGATGCCCAATCGTATCTGATCTATACACCAGAAAAGGAAATCTTGCAAAAATATATTGTAGAAATTCGACCTAATGCGAATGAAATGATTCTGAAAATGCAATTTCCAAAATTGCCCGGGAACTTTCTCTACAATCTAATACACCAGAAGAAAATCCCAGAAAAATATTTTGATTACCAACTACTTTTTTGCATCTAGAATTATTTCAACTTCTGCTTATTTTAAGGAGTTGGTATTGAAAATATCGCGCTGAGGCTGACATCGCACCTCAGCGCGACGAGGTGCGAGGAAACCTCTTGGCAGGAGATTTCAGACGGCTAGCGTGATTATTTTACCATATGCGGCGGCGTTCACGCCAGCTCTAGCGGCTGACTGCTGCCTAAGTCGGCTGCTTGGATACCACTTGCACGCCTCCTCCAGCCTGGAGGAACATGTAATTTTCATTTATTTATTTATTTATAAATGTAAATATAAAAAAAATGAATAAATATTTATAAATATTAGGTTGGCACGAAAGTTCTTGCGTAATTCAAACAAAATTCAATAACTTTTCAAAAACTAAACCTAAAGTCATAATCTTGTATCCTAAAAATATTAGAAGTCTCACGCTCCATGCTGGAAGTTCAAGCACAACAATCCATGAGCTAGCCATCGAGAACGAAGCTCTCAAATATGGGGCTTCAAATTTTGCGATTTTAAGTTTGGTGGCAGAAAATCGCAGAGGGCCGCTGGCTAGCCGAAAAATTCTATAGAATTTACCAACACTGCAAAAGTCCCTACGTTATTTTACCAGGCTTTGATCTCGCATGGAAATGCGAGAACAAAAAATTTGTGAAATTTCTCATTTCACAGAACAAATCCCCTTGTCGCTCTAATTTTTTCACAGAAACACAGTTTGCAACTAGAAATTAGACATAGTGCCTATTTAGAGCCTTGCAACTTTTTCTCGATTATAAAAAAGTGTTTTTGCCGGAAAACTGCGGGCATGAGGGGATTTTTTCCGCAAAATGATATATTTCACGAATTTTTTGTTTTTGCTTCACCGTGCAAGATCAAAGCCTTCCAAAGTAACATATGAGCTTTTGTTGTGTAAGCAAATTCTACAGATTTTTTATGCTAGCCAGCGGCCCTCTGCGATTTTCTGCCACCAAATTCAAAATCGCAAATTTTGAAGCCCCGTATTTGAGGGCTTCGTTCTTGATGTCCAGCTCACGGATTCTTATGCTTAAACATCCATCATGAAGCGTAAGGCTTCTAATATTCATATAAGATTGTGGATTTAGGTTTAGTCTCTGGAAAGTTATTGAATTTTGTTTGAATTACGCAAGAACTTTCGTGCCAACCTAATATAATATAAATAAATGTAATTTTTGAACCCATTCTAACGGTAGTTTCTATGGACCTTCTTTAAAAAATGCTAAACTCGAGTAGTTTTCTTCGATGGCTTGTATCCTTCGCACTTTCTATCACTGGCTGAACTAACAAGAAGAGGATTATCAGTGCCTTTTCTTTTTTTTTGCAAAGATTCGAAAGCGCGGCTACAATAAAATCATTCAGAACTTTGATCCGTGAGCTCAAATGGGGTCATAATTACTACCAGAGCCTATGCAACAAACAAATGCAATCAATCTAATAAACTCATGTCAGTCATTACTCCTTTCAAGCGCCGGAAAGGACCTCAACACCTATTTTTTAGCAGCTAATTCATTGAATTTTTGAAAAAATCTCCGGTCCACTCCCAGAAGCGCTTTGCAGATAAGAAGAGGGGATTTGGAATCAGTATTTTATGCTCTATAATAGTATACATTTCATATGGAAACACCACTTCGATCAAGTATCCTTCCCTTGTAAGTAATGTTCGCAAAGAGAATGATTCTCTATTTGGGAAAAAACAAAACTCGTTTTGAAATCTTGATATAGCAACAAGTTATGATTGTTGGAAAATTGTGCGACAGAGTATTCGGTGCAACCTAATATTTAACTTTGATTTGCACGGTATGAATTTTGAAGAGCGTTCTGAGCCACCAATGGCTATTTTGCCCCAGGATTTATACTTGCAGGTTGATTTATCGTTAGGCTATTACTGAGCGCTGACTAAGTGAAGGTCACACTCTAAAGTCGCTTGCTCTAAAAACGCTGCTACTCAACTTCCCAAATTTTTCCCCATTTTTTTTTCTCATTCGGCCTATCTCACAATGGCCCTGTGTGCTTAAAAGTAAGAGCGTAATTTTGGGTAATAGAGATCGGTCGGTATACGCATTAGAGTGTAAATCTAACACGGGAAGCGTGTTTAGTCAAAGTGGTCTATTTAGATGGGATGTATACCATACCGGAGAGCGCAAAACGCTGATTTTTTTATGAACGTTTGTGCCCAGAAGTTATGAGCATTTATCGAAGCGAAAAAGAAAAACTATAGGATAGTAGTTCTAAAATCTTGCCCTTGAAAGCAACCGCTCGGCAGAATGACGACTTTACAATATTTATCGTTCTGAGTTCCCCTGGGCGAGCTAAGTCTAAGGCTATGCTTTGCAGCTTCAAAAGATATTCACAACCCGCTTTTCCAGAAGTGAAAAGTGCTATTTGGGCGAACGGCGTATGCCTGCCCTCGAGCGCAATTGGCTTGTGGGTACTGTAGGTACGGTGTCTCCATTCACAAGCCAATCGCGCTCTAGAGAGCAGGATACGTGCTCCGCCCAAATAGCATGCCTGTAAAAGCGGTTTATTGATATCTTTTGAAGTTGCAATGCACAGTCTTGAACTTAGCTCGAGGAGAACTCAGAACGATGAATATGCCAAAGTTGCTGCCTTTAATTAAGTAAAGTAACCAAGTGTGACATATTTTCTTTATCTAAGAGTGTTTATCGAATAAAGTATTCTGATAAACGTCACTGCTCCCATAAAGCGCCAGCAAAAATATCAATAATTCTTGTTAAACGTTCCGCAGATAAGAAAGGCAGCTTTGAAATCATTTTTGTTAAGTTTTTATCCCTCCAATGTGATATATCGTCGAGTCGTTTGTAACTCAATATGCCTAGTGCACACCATACGCGCTGACTGACGAAATGCTAAATTAGAACCTGCTCATTTCCAGTGATTTTTTCTTTGTTTCCTTGTTTCTTTTGTTTTAGTTGGCTATATGTTAGTTAGTAGAACACATTTCTACATTTTGTTAGGCTAGAAAATGTTTTACTGGGAAGTTACTAGTACGGGTGCCGTCGCTAATAGGGTTTAGTGTGCAATCTCACATATTAAGTTACAAATGACTCGAAGTTACATCCCATGAAAAAGGCCCTTCGACTAAACATGGTTCCCTTGTATGTCGAAGCTAGGTTTTCAAAGTATTACCTGCAGCTAAGCAAATGGCTTTGTGGGCAGAGAGATATTAATTATCAAAAGGTGTTTATAGGGCACACAAACTGAGTGTCGTTTGCACCAGCATCTACATCTTCGCGCAGGGCTCGTCTCTTCCGCGGGGCTGCTTTCTGAGCACTTTCCCAGGGCGAGCGTGGGAAAGGCGGAGCCTCAATCGGTTAGAAGTGATTGGGAAGCATGTGCCGCAGAAGAGACGCAGAGTCCAGCGCGAAGATGGAGATGCTGGTGCACGACACTCAATTTGATAAGCCCTGTTCTTACCTTTGGACGCCCTGTATGTAAGTATCTTTGCAGAGGCTCACTGTGCTGTTGTCGTCTGTTACTTACTACGGTGAGCGAAAGTTGGAAAGAATCGTGGAAAATAACTTCCCTATTTTCCAGGTTTAAGCCGCACCCTGTCTGCTTTGGGTACGGGTCAGGGGTCACTATTTTTCGCGAAGCGACGCCGCCACGCGACTTGAACAGTGCAAGACTCACTCCCGTCAGCACTCCTGTCGCAGTCTTACTTATGGCATCCAGTCATGTATTTGCCGCCACCCCCTACTGTGGCGCCGTGCCACGTTAGCACCGGAGAGTTTTTTTTTGTGAGGCACAGAATTTGAGCGCGGCGAGCGACCGCCGCGCGCAGTGTCCACTCCTGGCTCGTACCCGTCTGCTTTGATGCAAACATGCCAAAAGACTGCTCTGTAACCATGAGGCGCTCAAGCGCTCAATCACGCGAGCAGACCCAGGCGAGAGAGCAATGCGCCTGGGTCTGCTCTTTGGAGCAAAGAGGGTGCGGTTTATATACCTGAAAATTGGGTAGGTATCGTAAACCTACCGTACTCAGACAGGTACATCACTCCATCGAGCTGAGCTGAGATGAACTGGCTTCAGTTGAACGGTGAACTCGGTTTAAAATTTGTACATTTGGAAGACATACAACGTTGCGGCGCTAATGTCAGCTGGCTAGCCCATCGCGTTTTTTTGCACAAATTGTAGAGGTACTGTTCCTTATACGCGCTCGTATTTTTTGCAAAAACGACGCGTAATCGCCAAATTCTTGTGATATCACCGTAGCGTAGCCGTATCTCGCTTCAAAATGGACAAGTTCTTAGTCCAAGGGCACCATTCAACTCAGCTCGGCGCGGCGCATCTTTTGATGTGTAGGAGTGCCTGTTTGGACACAGTAGAAGACCACACTCCCCGAATCGTTCCAGATTTTTGCTTATGATAAGTAGCCCAGTGAATGCAATGAATAAGCACACTGAGTAACTACCGTAAGCAAAAATCTGCAACGACTCGTTTAATGTGGCCTTTTAGTGTACAAAAAATGCGCCGCGCCGAGCTGAGTCGAATGGTGCCCTTAAATCAAGATTTTTTTCCATTTTAAAGCGAGATATGGCCACGCTATGGTGATGTCACATGAATCGGGCGACTGCGCGTCGTTTTTTCAAAAATATGCAAGCGGGAATGTATGTCAACCCCCCCCCCTGGATGCCTGTGTATAGTCAATTTCCATTGAAAAGACCTTTCATAATCTAGAAAATCACAACCGTTCTGCACAATGCCAGGGTACAAATACAGAAGAACATATCAGTCAAAATAAGTGCTAGGAACTTACATCTCTCTTGCTGAATTATCAGCTATCAGAACTGCAAACAGTAGGAGAACAAAGACAATTTTGGACATGTCTGTCTTGAAGTCTAGACGCACTGTTATATGCTGATGCGCAGCTCATTACTCTTCTGAGGCTGGTCGCCACTTTGTCTCATGACGTATTCGCAGAACCGATTGCTGTAAGACAGTCTCCATAACAATCGTCAAGTGCAAAAATCCTTGAACGTAAAACAAGTTTTCTTGTCAAGGAAAGTAGTACTATGTCAAGTTATAGTGTCGTTTAGATGCAAAAGATTACTAAATCATGTTCTATTGAACAACAGAGAAACAAAAGTATGAAAGTCTGCATTTTGTTGCGCATCTTTGAATCTTCAACAATCATTCAGTATCTCCTTGCAAAACTATGCGAATGTAAGATGTAGGTTTTTTTCTTCGTCGGAGGTGAAACGAACGAAATGATCATTCAAAGCGACTCGTTGAACCATCAACGCTAAACAGCAGCTTTCACATCATTTCCCAACGAAACCACGAGTTAACCAATGGGAAACTTCGAGATAGACTACTTGCAAAGCAAAGTCATTGGAGGAAATCGAAACTCCAACCATTTTCATGCTTGTCCGCAATTATTGCACTTTACCAAACTTGCTACTCGGTGTGCAGCTTTTCATTATTTCATAATGGTTTACTATGCAGCTATACACTAAACTTTTCAATAGTAGATTATGGAATATCGTTGCCGATAGCTAAGAGCTTCTCATTCGAAAGGTTACCTTAACATTATGTCATCAGGAAATAGTGGTTCGTTATCAAATTCAGAATGCGTTGTTGGGAAGTAATGCTGGAGAACTATTGCAGATGTCAGCGGGGGTGCTGTGCCTTGTAAGCGCCACAGAAATATTGAATACGTTCGCACTTATCCGTGCGAGGTCTTTTCAAGTAATGTAGCATTCATACGCTTTATTCGCTTCACTGGAAAGGAGCTATTATGGCTCACGACGCTTTTCTCGTCGAAACTAACGTATGACAGTAGGGTCTTGGGCTATCTTAAAAATCAGCAGGTAGAGTCTGCTATGGCCTTTACGATTGGTAACTTTTTGCTGCACTTCACTGAAAAAAGCTTTTGGGTAGCAATAGGTGTGGGATATCTTGCGACGAATTCGCGCCAAATTGTTCTTGGTCTTGGTGACACTTTGAAGTGCGGCCAAAACGATTTAAATGTGGTGCACAGGTGGTTATGGCGTTAAATCTTTCAGAAGTAATGTCGCAGTTCGTCGTTTGTGGGCCGTGGAATACTCCTGGTGCGGAATAGGGCTACCAAATTCGCCAGGCTCGGAAAATTTAGCAATTAGTGGACTTTCAGTGACTTACAAGAGAAATATAAACTATTAAGATGTAATTGGCTGCATCGACGGAACTTTAGTGCCAAGTGTACTTTAGTGTACTCTATCCCGAGATGGCTATGTGTACATGAGCAGGAAGAGATTCAGCGCCTTAAACGTCTGCGTAGTCGTAATGCAGTTGGCATTGCCCTCTACGTCAACAATAGCTTCGTTGAAATCCTAGGCCTTGCTTAAAGGTGTTGTTCTCTTATCATTAACTACGCGATCTAAAGGCACATTGAATAAAGCATCCAATGTCTTGTTTGGCAGTTATTATAGGATTAGTACATACTCTCAACTAACTCAGTCTTGTCCTCACGATAGATTGGAGACCTGCTAAAACGCTGTCAGCTCATCAGCTCGTGGCGCTTTTAGAAAAATGTCAAATTTAAACGTTAGTTTACATTTGAGCAAGATCGCTCGCTGTCGGAAAGCTTTGAGCCGCCTGCCTCTGCCCTTATATGAATCGTTGGGCGGTATTTATCATTCTCTTATATTGGAAGGGGTTTCCGTACAGCAGCGGTGCGATGGGGGGAGCCGGGCCCACCAAAAGTGAAGGTGGTCCCAGCTTCCACTGGCCGGCCAAAAGTGAAGGTGGTAGTGCCGGACACTCACCTCCCAAAAACGTCGACCGGGGGGGGGGGGGGCAGGAGCGTTAACGTCGACTGATTCTGTCCTTCCACGACATATGCCTGGGGATGGAGTACCTCTCTTCACTAATTCTCCACTGGCGGCCTCCCGCCATTACATTGAAATGGGCGGGGTGGAGAATTAGTGAAGAGGAGTACTCCACCCCGGGTTAGAGCCGCAAGAAACGTTGAATCCCCCACATATCTTATATCATCTGAAGGCTCTAAGAGGAGAATCTAACCTATAAAGTCGCAACATGATTCATGCAGTTCTGAAGAAGTTATGAGCTGAAAACGGTTTTTTACCTGCTTTTTTTAAGAGCCTGGATCTCGGCGATGTTTCAATGGATCGGTACAGCTAAGAGATGTTCTGATAGGGTAAACCTCACCCTACAAAACCTACGAAGTCGCAACATCACACATCTTCAAGTCCGGATTTACAAGAGTTTAAATGTCAGTTGTCATTAAGCAACCTAAAATTGAGAAGATTTTTAGGGTTCTTCAAAAATCTCGTTCTCGGCGGCCACTCCTCAAATCCAAATGATTTTTTCACCATCTGGTAAAACAACACTTACACTTCAAAATCTTGAAGTCGCAACTGCGGAGGTCTTCAGCCAGCAGATTTGTAACAGTGGAATGATTTTTCACGATTTTTCATTATTTTATCATTCGAAATTCTGGTTCTCGGCGATTACTGCCTGGATCGACTACTACATAGATATATGCTCTTAGTACTTTCTTTTACATTCCTTTTGCTTATTTTCCTTCTTCTGAGCTTTAGTAAAAAATTTTCAAACGCAAAAGTGAAGGTGGTCACCCTGTACCAGCTCAAAAGTGAAGGTAGGCGGAGAATCGGCTCCGACTATCGCACTTCTGCTGTACAGGTAACAGCCCGTACAGGCGCGGGCACTGGAGCCCGCGATAGTCGAAGTCAAGCTGGTGATTGCGGTTCTGTCTACTGGGGAATATGGTCCGATGGCAAGCTTGGCCTTGTCGGGCACCGCCTTCGGGCAGCAGAGCCATATCTTGACAGCTCGGGCTCCACTGCTCGACCGCCGTGCCGATATGGCCAAAATCGCCATCAGAGCACATTCTCAGACAATCGCCGGAGGCAGGCGGCCTTGCGATTTTTGGGTCTGCGGGCAATGAAAAATAGTTCGCTGATTTCTTGCGCTCCGCTTGAATCTTGGAAGGATGTGGGCCAATTTTTAGTCGAATGCTCGAAGAAATTGCGGTTTTTCTAGATTAGTTGCGGCGCAGCGGCCGCATTCTCGCGCACTTAGCGCGAAATGCAAAAATATTGCGGGCCGCACAGTCCTTTTGAACGACCGCACAGCCCGTACTCAGATAATCGCCGAGGGCAGGCGGTCCGCAAACTCGCGCTTTTCTGCAGGCTGCCAGCAGAATTTTGAGGCGTGGCCAAACCTTCAGTGGGCGGCACTTCCTTTACGGTCGCATAGTCTGCTAGCGGGCAACAATACAGTATTTTCTGCAAGCGCTCGGCAAACAGTTCCTTTCAGCGAGGCTAGGACTCTTTTAACGCAGTTTCGGGCATACGCCGAGTAAAGATGAGACTCTATGTGGCAGAGGCGTCATCGATGGTTTAATCACTCAACTTTGGGGTAACTTCTTTTAGCGGAAAAAGTACGGAAAGTCCGGAAAATGCGGCCACTGCGCCGCAACTAATCTACAGAAAAACCACGATACTTTTCCGAGCATTCCTCTAAAAATTGGCCAACATTCTTTCAAATTTCTGCAAGCGGACAGCATGGAATCAGCAAACTATTTTTCCGGTGCCCGCTTGCTCAAAATTCGCATGGTCGCCTGCCTCGGCCATTATCTGAGTAGGTACCTTCCGCTGAAAGAAAGTACCCCAAACTCGGGTGATTGAACCATCGATGACACCTCTGTTATATAGAGTGTTACCTTTGCTCGGCGTACGCCGAAACCGTGTAAAACGGGTGCGAGCGCTTGCTGAAAGTTTGACCAGCGCTCTCTGAAAGAAATTATTTGCCCAGCGCTTGCAGAAAAAGCTGTAATTGCTGCCCGCTGGCAGAATATGCGACAGTTAAGGAAGTACCGCCCGTTGAAGGTTTGGCCACGCCCCAAATTTCTGCTGACCGCCTGCAGGAAAGCGTCTAAAATTTTGTGAATCACCAGACTGGCGCTCTCGCCTGTCCAGGCAATTGTTTGTAAGGCCCAACAGCGAGCGGAGGTTGATAACTACCGCCCCTGAGTCGAGTAACTCAAAAACGCACAACCCAATGTGTGTTACGTTCATCTGGCGTCGTAGCATAATAAAATGATTATTTGACCTTACTTTAGTGCCTTACGCGTTGACACGATGAAACACATCATTGTTTTGAGCGAAAAAGTGGTCGGGGTACTTTTTCGTTTTAAACTACCAATGCGTCACCTCTGCTTCGCAGAGGTTCGCACTGGCTCTACTATCTATCGTTCATTCGTTGACCGTACGGACTGCCGACCGCGTGGCGACTGCGACGCGTGCCTTCTAAACTTGCGAAAAAGTGACAAGTTGGACCGTGGCTTAAGATGAGAAGAATTCTTTGTTTCTTTTCTACATTATAAAGATGAGAAGAATCCTCTGTTTTCTTTCTATTCTTCTTTTCTACGAGAACATCATGCACGCGCAGCGGTCGCCGCGCGGTCAGCAGTCGTTACGGTCGACGAATAAACGATATGTGCCTTATTCATTCTCGTAAAATCGTGGCAGTGGAACTCACCGCACTATGCCGACTACCACGAATAAAATGTAAACAACCACTCATTTAGAAAATCTTTTCACGTGAGATCGGTGATTTCGAGTGTATGAAACTTTTCGCAGGAAGACAAACGCAAATTTGGATAGGTTTTTGGGTTTGTCATGACTTGGTAGTCGCCATAAAGGTAACGATAACCGTGAGCTACATCTCTGTGTGAAAATCTTCTCAAACGCTTAGCTAGAACCTTGGCAAATTGACCATTTACACAACCAATTCGTTATGGCGCCGTTTTCGTTATGTAGTAAACTTTCGACCACTTTTCTGGCTAAACTCCATCGCTTGCACATTTGCTTACCAAACTCGTCCACGACTCTGCAAAAAGTGGTGATACGCACCGACTTTTGCGGTACAGAAGCCAGGTGGACCCGTTTGGCGCGCAAATTCTGAGGGATCCACTCAACGAATCTACTCGTGCTTTTGCATGTTGGACTTTCACGAAGGTAGCATGCGCTATACAAAATTTGGGCTTAGAACGTCGGCTGGAACACGCTCCACGAATTTCGTAACAGACAGACACACACACACACACACACAGAGTCACGTAAACATCCTTAGCCCGTTATTATAAGTCATGATGATATGCTGGTTTCACGTCTGCGTCTCATGGAATGAAATGCTATGTTTATTACTGTACCTGATAAGGAAACAATGGTGTTAACTGCTGATTAATTCGCAGTTTGGTTTGGAATGAAACATGCAAACAAGTATGGTTTTTTGATAGTTACTTGCTTGTTTCATGATTTTGTGTGACCGATTGAACTGAACGGCCGTAAGAAGATGATCATGTTTGCCACGATGTAATCTTGATCGAACCATCACATCATTCGTTGGTTTCGACCAAATTACTACCACACCTGAGGATGCGCGATAGTTTGTTATACATTTTGAAATTGCTTGCATTAAGTGATGGTAATGGTTCAAAATCAAAACTGAAGAACTTGCAAAGGTTATCTGTAAGTCGCTAAGCTGTTGAAGCATGATGTACGAAGTAGTGAGAATTAACAAAATGAGTTTAAAAGTCGGTCACTGCAACGGTACTCTCCTGCTCTCGATTCAGTCTAAGCTCGTGTTTTGAAAATTTTCTTGCCAATTTTTAGTTAGGTTGGAAACTCCACTTAAGGAGATTATTTGCTCACCGCTGTGAGCCTTAGAGGTTTCTTTCAAAGAATTCATCAACCTTTTTTGCGTTTAGTATTTCAGCAGCGTCGGTGATTTTTCCTTCCAAAAAATTACCTCGATTATGCTAGTTTATATCGAAAATTCTTCGTTTAATTTCTGAAAATCTACAGCTTTTCGCCATCTCAACGGATTTGCTTCTTTGTACTTTAGGAAAAAAGAAAGAAAAGTCCTCCTCTTTTTTGGAGCTTTAATAATCTTTCACCACTGCAGATATAACAATGAAAAAAGAAGACCGTTCAGGATTTTGTCAACATTAAGAAATCTGAAACCGTCGCTGCATAGGTTCTATGACCTATTTTTTTTGCATCCGAAAAAAGTTTGTGCTGTTTGGACGTTTCTGGAAAGTTACGATTTTCGCAAATGACAAATCAATTTTGGCGTTTCCTGTTGTAAATGGGAAATTCTAACTTCTCGCGGAAACGTCCAAACATCACAATTTTTCGGTTGCAAAGATTAGGTCATAAAAACAGCATACTTACGACTTCAGTTCTTTTGCAACGTTCCGCTTTCGGCGAGCTGACTCAAAATAATCAAAACTTCAACGGTCTTTTCCTGATCTCCGCATTTCCGTTAGTGTATGGTAGAGGCTGATCAAGGTCCAATTACAAAGAAGAAGACTCCTTTTGCCCATTGGAATTACAAAAAAGCAAATAGTTGAGATAGTGGAAAGTTGGAAATTTTTAAAAATGAAACGACATAACTTTTGGGACGACCTAGTACTTAAACTTTCTTCCTTGTTTTCGTTTGAGATGAAATTATAAGGCTGTTTCAAAGGTTGCAATCTCAATTAATGTGCCATCTTTCATTATAATTCTGCATCTGCAAATTTCTAACGCTTTCCATTATCTCATGCATCACTGGAACCGGTAATCAAGTCTTTTTTATAGGTTTATGGTTCTCCTGAAGACTTTACTGATAGCCCCATGGGGAGTGTCCTGAAACTGTTTAACTCTGTTTTTTTTTGCTTTATTATATGAAAGAAAATGACTGCATAGACAACTGGTAAATGTGGGCATAAAGCATAAACATACGAACGCAAGTTTATGGGTGTCATCAATCGCATAACTTATTAGTTGCTAAAAACTTCTATCCGTCGTTGTGCTTTGATTATCCAATAATACTCCAGAAATATTTCTTGCGAAACTAAAGCACACAAAGTGAAGGGTGTTACAAATCAAATGAATTAGATTTTAGTTTGCAAAGTAATTTGGGTTGTTCTTCAATGCTGGGTGGTCAACACCATGTCCCAGCATAGGAGCTCATTGTGGACGTCTCAAGTCTGGTCTTACGCCGGCTTGGCCTCCGATGAGTGGAGTTGGACCTGCAAATTCTTGGTTTACCAGCCTGCCTTGCACAAATTTTCATCCGAACGTCTTAGATCTGGGCGCACGCCAGCTTGTCCTCCAATTATAGGTCCACGGGATGGGGGTATTGGTTGGGGTACAGGTTGGGGTACTGGTTGGGATACTTGGCGTTTGTCTCTTTGACTAGAAGGTCACTATGGTAAACGCAAGTAAAGTTATTGTTTAAACCTACATCTCCATTGTAACGGTGTCCGTTACCAGAACAGTTGAAATAAGAAGAAGAACGAAGCAAAGTGTGCGCATGCTTGTCTTGCCTCTCACTCTGTAGACGCTTCTTATATACAGGTACGTTGAAGTTTTTTTTTTTTTGTTGAAGAATTTAGCTGAGACTTTAATGGATTAGCGCTCTAAATCCAGAAAATACTCGATGCTTGTTGATAAGACTCTTCAAGAATGATCACTGTTGAGCTTTGAACGCTATCGGAATAGTTTTTCATAGAATAAGAGGATACGGAAAGGTACGAATGTTTACATTAGGTACACTCCTCAAATTCGTCTCCTGCCTTTTGGTTTCTCATTGCTCTCAGGGTTCAATGAGAGGCCGAAAAGTTCGTGCCAAAAATCAATTGAACGAATCCCTTTATTGTGAGGAAGTTACGAACGAAGGAATCAATCGTTGTGCTAATCGAGATTCAAAATCGAAAGAGAGATCACCATTATCTCCTTCTTGATGTTGAAATTGTATTGGATACATTTGAGCAGACTTTACAGTTTGCCACACATGGTCTAGAAAGTTCCGCTTTTAAAAATTCTAAAGGACCCGATTTAACAAGTTTATGTTTCTGAATGTTGCATGCATAGTATCTGATTGTGTGGAGCAAAATGCCTCTTTGGCTAAAAAAAACTCTATAGAGATAAGTTAATATGTGGTGGAAGAATCGTTTGAATGAAACCGATTTTATCACAAGCCGTCTTGCTAATCCAAACAAATAGATACACATGATTTCTCATACTTTGAGATTATGTAACTACTGGGTCTTCCATTTCTAGCGCTTTTGTTGCGGTAAAAAATGGATTTGGATCATTCGTCAAGATTACCGTTTTTTCGATAACATGACACACATTACACTTTAATAAATCCGTATTGATCTATCCAATTGTGCACAACGTAACTCGTTACAATTTAAATACCCGACAAGGTCAACGAACTCAAGCAAGTAAGGAAACATTGTATGCATACAATAAAATAACTCGCCTAATTAGAAGAACATTGGCGGTGACCACAGGGCTGCGATAAGTATTGGGGAAATTCATACAGATCTTTTAAGCTTCCAACTGAAGAAGTTACTTGTTCCTGGTAGATTTCCTTTGAGACAATGTTGCATGTCTTCTGTGGGTACCCAATTTGTGCTTCATTCTCGCACTCCGGCTTGTAATTCTGCTGGACTAGCACTTCCTGGACTAGCAGCCGGACTGTAAACCTTAATAACTAGCAATTCCGGTATTCCTCTTGGACAAACGTTCTATGTACTCCTGCTGGACTAATTGTTTGAGTTCACCATCCTGACAGATTGAACATTTAACCTCCATTATATTAGTTTAGTTAAAACAATAACTTCGGTCGCTCTTGCGGCTTTCGCAAATGCTGCAGACAAATTTTTGCCCATTGTTTGCTATCTCTGGACAAAGCACTTTAATGAGAAATGGAATATGAGTGTTGTTTGAGTAATCTACCTCGCTATGAAGAAAAGGCGCAAAGAAGTGAGATACCCCAATTTTCTCATAAAGCGCAGATGTGAAATATTTCTCTTTTTTTGCTCAAAAATGCCAATATAGAAGGTCACAATCTTTACTGTTATTCGCTGAATAGAAAAAACTGGATGTATCAAATATTCATCTCTATGTCCATGGCAGCATGAAAACAAAGCTTGCAAATTGAAGAACTGCGCGTTTGGAAATTTAGCCATATAAGGGCGCAATTGTCCTTTGGTGACAGTAGAAATTTATAAATAGTTACTCAAAAGCTCGTGTAGAAACAACAAGGAATTTTATGGAGATTTGCAGGTAAAAACAGAATTGAGAATTTGAAGTAATTAGCCCGCAAGCAAGTTGGAAGCACGAAACCCGTTTCGGAAATAAAGGACCTTCGCCACGCCCTCATACTCGACTTTGATTTCTTCAAAAACTTGTCGAGAAGAAAAATAGTATCAATTTCAGCTTACCTCTGCCATTGATGAGTGGTCGATTTTCATCCTGCCTGTTCGGACTTTGAAACTTGTACAGTTTACTTAAACAGGAAAGGCATCAATTTCCTAGTCTGCAAAAACGAACGTGTTGATTGTGAGGAAGTGCATTTATGCTTGCGAAGGCAGCAGGTTAATTGACGAAATCAAGAGGAAAGTCGTGAAAGTCGTATCCTGCCAATTCTGGACGGCTCGAAAAATAGCCACTCTTTTCTAAATCAAACAAAACTGGGTATAAAATCACTTTTCCTGGGATCGAAATGTGCAGGAGCTGCGGAATTGGTCAAATTCAGCAATTTTAGCACATGGGTCTGGAATTTCTTGGTTTTTGGGAGTATAAATCCGAAGGGCCCAGCAAAGTCTGGTTGTTGCATCGCTTGAATGACAAATGGGGCTGGCTGGGAATAAGCTTGGAGGCAGGAAGAAGTGGGTGCGCAAGCCGTTTCTCCCGCTTGAAAAGGCCACTGGCGAGGTTTATATGGCCGGAATCTTGGCTTTCTCTGAGTTCGTGTAAGGGTTTCTTCTCTTTCTTTTTTCTCTTTCTCTCATAGAAAGCAGCCAAAATCGGGTGGACGTCTACTTTGTTTCGGCCTTTTCGCAATGATCGTAGAACTCGCATGCATCTGAATTAAAATCTGACTGTCAGTAGTTCGATCATTTACGTTAAGAGATCGACGGCTTTTGTTGTTGCTCAATGTCAAACTCCTCAGGAGGATGTCGGCTATAGGTGAGAAAATCGATAGCAGATCAGAGTCGAATTCAAATGTTGATCGGGTTTGGTAAATTTGGGCTTGTTCGATAAATGAACTGCATGCTGCGTAGTAGATAGGCCGGTGAGAATACTGTCTAGATAGACAGTCCTTATTTAAACCAGGTCCTCCGCAACATTCTGTAACTCTGGAATAGTGGCTTTAGTTGTATAGTAGAGTCAAAATGGCGGTTGGTGTCGCGGTGTTTTTACAGCACGAGTTGAAAACCCATAGTGAGTGCATATCTCTTCAGAGCTTAACATTACTTCAGACCTCGTTTTACCTTGTGCAATCTAGGGTATATGTGCTAATCTCAGCCCAAATTTTATGGGGCCTGATTAAGCCGCCCTCAAACGATTCCCAACTAATGTTATGCTGCGTATGACGAGAAGCGTGCAAACGCCATGTACTTTGGACCATGGACTAACTATAGGAAGATCAATAGTCAAAGTAGCCTTTTCATTAAGGACACATACCTTCTTGAAGGACAGCATCTCTCATTGAATAGAAAATTTTTTGTTGGTTACTACCATGCTCGCCATTATTCCATCTGCGAGTTGAAGGCTGTCACCGTTGATTTTATTCTGATCAGGAGTTTAATTTTTTGACTCATTAAACGCTCATAACTCCTCATCCAAAGGTTCTCCGGAGATAAGGAAGACAGATTTGAAATAAGCGCTCAATGCAACAAGGATGCCAAAAGACCCGGTTGAGAAAGGCAATCCATCATGCATTCCTTCTGCAAGCACTGGTCCCATCTTCAGTGATAATTTCGCTTTGTTCGACTGTAAAGTTACATGATAGGAGCGAATACAGACAAGACTCGCATTAGCTTACACTAGAACATCTCTGGTAATGTCATTTGCCGAATGCATACGAAAAAGGATAGCGACGATAGCTGAAATTGGTGTTCTGGTTACTCATAGATTCTAAAATGCCGAGAGCATCTGTATTCTACGGTCTCAAGTCATTGTAAGTAAAAAATTATGAGACATTTCCGAATGATAATCATGCAAATATTTCTTTGCTGATCACGGTCATCTTCAACGATAGAAGTTGAGAGAAGCGAAAATTCTAATTCGAACGCATGTTGAACGTGAATATTTGCGTGTCTCTCCAAGCCAAGTTTCAAAGCTCTATGTGCAAACTTGTATTATTTTTAAGCTTTGGTAGCTGAGTCTTTGAACCACAAAAAAAAAAGACTTTGAAGCGCTGAAAAAAAACAGTTCAGATTATCTGTCAATATTGACACTTTCCTTTTTGAGAAGCACTAGGTGCAGCGTGCTGCAGATATCTCAAACATTGTTACTTAGCTCTACAAGAAGTTCAAAACTCTCAAGTTTCGGGGTAGACAATTGTTTGTATGACGGTGCATTCATGCTGAAGTTTTTGTGTTTTTGCAGAGCTACATACTCTTGAAGGCAGTGTCCCGACAAATTCTCGGTTTTAGATTTTCACTTTTTCGGGGTCTTGCCGCCATGCTAAGCCCATATCTGGGCTTTGCAGCGTACGAAGATGGCAAGAATGAGCTTTTTCCAGAGCCCTTCGTGTGCGCACTCGCTGCAAAATACATGTAAGTGGGCAGAGTCCAGAACGAAGGGTGGGGTCCGTGGGACTTCCAGAATAGCTTCCAGGCTCCCTCGATGCCCTTTTTCGCTCAAGACTTCACTGATAGTTTAGTTGAGGGGGGGGGGGCACTGTTATGCTCCAAAATCACGGTACCTACCACTTTGCTGGGACCCTGGCAAGGCTTCCGAGCTTGAAAGCAAGGAAAAAATGATTGCCTTAGCACGCACAACCATTTTTGTGAGGTGATCATGCGTGGCCGGAACAAGTCTCAGCTTGCGCATTTTCTCTGGTCGTATACACAATTTGGAACTTATACGTACTATGTGCTCACATCATCACAGAACTTTGCGAGCAGAAGCCGAGATTGAAGGGCTTAAAAATGTGCTAGTTCTTGGGTAAGCTTGAGAATGGCTGAGAAACGCACGTGATCAACGCTCCCCTTTTCGAACTCACTAGTGCAACAGCGGATATCTCAGAATTTGACTAGCTCTGATAAGAATTTAGGAAAATGCGAAAAGTTGCACAGTTTTGATAAGTAGACTTACTTGAGGTCTTAGAATTCATGATCCGCTCAGTATCAATACTCTGCACAGAATCAGTTCTACGGCCATTGATATCCACTCTTGTCTACTATACCTTTTACATTCATGCTCTCGTATTTAGCACCAACGATTTTTCGCGATTCTTTAATTCCCAATCTTCAAATTTGGGGTGGGGACGTTCTTGAAAATTGTTTGAGATCCTTTCACGTGTTTTCATACAGTCGTAACATTTTATGAAGGAGATCGCTAACTGTACATTTTGATTGAGACTATGAATCAACCAAAAGTATAGTCAACACTTAAAAGCAGCATCCTGGCAAAGTGACGATGCCGGATATAGCAATGTTACAGTAAGCCCCCATCCCCACTTAAGCGACGGATGAAATTTGGGGCGAAATAGGAATTTTAAGCCTAAAATTTTCCCGAAACTGCCTCGCATCTTACACTAGGCCCGAGGGCCGCTCCTTACTGCGAGGCTACAGCGCGTATAGCCATACAGTCATGATTGTAGTTGCCCATAGCGACTCTGCATCTTAACCTGGTGGGCTTCGCATGCTTACGTCCAAATATAAACGTGGGGCTTCAGGAAACGCCCGTTTTCGACATCTTCACGCTCAAGTTGCACAGTCGGAATCAGCGGGACGTGTAAGCCCGGGTAAATGGAAAATTTCTGAAATTGTTTTGTCGGGACACTGCCTTTAAGTGCAAAGGTACAAAATGCTATTTTAGTTTGAAGATAAAAAGTTGTTCTTCCTTACTGCTGTGCTACCTTCACGCAAGCCAAAAGTGGGGTGGGCTGAATTCTGGGATAGCAATACCTACAGTCGAGTAGATTTCCTGCTTAATATAATGCCCTTGCAGGCGCGACAACGCTTGGGCGTCAACAATTGCCATTGCCATTTCCAAGCAGTGTTTTCTTATGTTTCCTTTGCTTAATCTTTGCTTTTTAGGAAATTCGCTGCTGATAAAAGAGAAAAGCGTAATTTAAAAGAGTAGTTTTTGTTTCCTGAATAGTTATAATATCGCTATCCTCAGGTATTTACCTGGGAGCACGTCGCGTCAATTCCATGTGTATTTTTTCTCATTTGCTTTTCTCTCGTCACTTCGTGCCTCTTTCTTCTTGCGAAGCAGTTCTTTGAAAACGCTAGTTGGCTTGGCTTGCAGCAAATTCGGCTTTCACCCCCCAAAAAACAGCATCTAATCGAGTACTTCGTGCGATAAGGACAATAATTCAAACGCAGAAGCCTACTAGCGTCCAAAAGAATACTTCGCAAGAAGTAAGAGGCATGAAGTGACAAAAATCACGCACAATACTGATGCGACATGGCTTTATCTAGATATCTGGGATTAAGCGATGATATAATTAATCAGAAAACAGAAGTTACCCTCTAACTTACTCTTTTCTCCTTTATCAGCAACGAAGGTAACTGAAAAGCAGAGAATAAGCAAAGAAAATGCTAGAAAACACTGGCGGAAACTGGCAATGGCAATTGTTGACGCCCAAGCGTTGTCGCGTCTGCAAGGGCACTATATTAAGCAGGAAATCTACTGGACTGTACAACGTTGCAGGTTGTGCGAACACCAAGTAATGGGCAATAATTTTTTTGATTTGCTGTCTCATAATTTGGAGAAACCCTTGGTAGTATCAACTCAATTGACAAGCTAGCGAATAGGTTTTTATTGAGGTGTCGAAACTGTATATGCACAAAGTATAAAGCTTTCTGCTCCGATGGTAATTATCACCACGAACGCCATCCTCTAGGACCCATTCCAGGTCTCATTCCTCCTGGTCCCATTCCTTGTCCTGGCCACTGCTGACCTGGTCGCATTCCTTGTCCCCACTGCTGTCCCGGTCGCATGCCCTGTCCAGGCCATTGCTGTCCTGGTCTCATTCCCTGTCCAGGCCACTGCTGTCCTGGTCGCATTCCTTGTCCAGGCCACTGCTGTCCTGGTCGCATCCCTTGTCCAGGCCACTGCTGTCCTGGTCCCATTCCAGGTTGTCCGGGCATTTGCTGTCCTGGTCCACCTGGTCCACCCGGTTGCCCTGGTTGTCCTCCCTGCGGCGGCATTCCTCCTGGTCCACCTGGTTGTCCTCCCTGCGGCGGCATTCCACCTGGTCCACCTGGTTGCCCACCCTGCGGCGGCATTCCACCTGGTCCACCTGGTTGTCCTCCTGGTGGAGGGGGTCCTTGCGCTCCACCTATTCCTCCTAGTATACCTTGTAATAGTCCTCCCTGTCGCCTTATTCGACTAAAAACATAGCAGTGGAACTAGTAAGAAAGCAAAGACAATGATATTAACTTACGCATGTCTTTCCTCAACAATGCTCCTTGTCGCAACTGGCGATAAAAGTAGGGCGAATGTGCAGAAGAGAAGGATAATTAATGTGGAATTCATTTCTGTCACTAAGTCGAATTCGTGATCTTAAATACACCAGCTATGGGATAATAAATAACTCTGACGAATGCGGCAAAAAAAAGCAAGGTTACGGAAAGGCTCGCTTGACTTCTTTTTACTGCTGCAAAAAACAAACATGATCTTGATTCCTTCAGCCTTGGTATATCATTCAGGGGATACAGGGCGCACATCAGACAAAAGCTAGAATATCAGAAGTGAAATTCGCTGAACACCGATCACAAATGACATGAGAAGAAATGTCGCCAACTTATGACTAATATGAGCTTTGGCGAACGCTTATGACTAAGTGACTAGAGTCACAATAGATCCCTAAACAAAGTAATTTTATGTATTCAGCAAACAGTGTCTTTATGAACTCAGATTTATTGACAGAATTTTCGCTAAGCTCAAGCTTTTGCTAACTTCCAAGATCTTGTTTTTACATATTGGCAAAGCCAATTTCAGAGCTCTGAAGTTGTCTCTGCCCTAAAAATATCTATCTCCACTGATGGATGGAACCTCAGAGTTTACTGTATAAGGTGTCCCAGATTTACATTTTTTTGATCGTTAATAACTCATTCGCCTCAATTTGGCCTGGGTCAGACTTTCTTCAATATAAATTTATACAAATCTCCTATACAATCAACTCTTCACTTAGAATCACGGTAAGAAATTACAAGTGCTTACGTCATGAGCCATTTTCTGCCCTAAAAGAGTTCCAAAAACTACCAAAAAAATTGATTCACTTCACGTGCACAGACTTATGAAGAGTTGCTGGAAGCAACTTGCATGAACAGCGATCTACCTATCTACTTATTTTGGGTTTCCCGAAAATTTTTGAAGTGATGTTCGAGCAAACATGAGGAATGTGCTGTATTTTTGATCGTAACCCCATAAATAATGAAGAACAGTTTGCGATTTGTTGTCTTTTGTAAGATTTAGATTTGGGGTAACAACTTTTCAAAAATAAGAATACGCCATCAAGAAAGCTAAAAAAAAACTGGTGGAATGTTATGCAGTGAAATCAGCACGCCTGAAAACTTTGCTACACTAATTTTCAGATTTTTTTGAAATTATCTCGTAAAAGGCCTAATCCACAGTGACGACGTGTCCTAAAAGTTCATAGCATAGTCATACAGTAATGAAGAGCGATCGGTGATTCGCTATTAGGTTTTTTGATAACTGCCAAAATTCTCCACCCGTCAATTTTATCTGCTCAAAGTTAGGCTAATTTTTAAAAATTTCATTCCAAAGTTTTGGAAAGATTCAAGTATAGATCAAATAGAGCTACTCTCGGACTACAAGATCATATTTTTAGATTCTCCTAATCCGCTGTTTTTAGCTCAAAAAAATTATTTCTTAGGAGGTCTCTACTTTTTGCAAAGTCATGAAACACGCAACAGCAGCAAATACACGAAAACTTCTGAAGTTTCTGCGAAGTGAGGCGGATCCTTATTAAGCATTATTTACGCAACATAACCAAGTTTGGTTTGCTTTAAAACAGCAGCTTTTTGGAATTTTCGGTAGTTTTACGTGGTAAAATCAAAAAGAAATATGAAATATATGAAATATGAAATATAATTATAACGGACTTGGTAGACGTGGCCCATGAAAACTAAAATAAAAGCAATGTAGCCAAAGGTTTGCTCTACATAATAGTCACGCGCGCTCTTTGAAAACATCAGAATACAAATCTTTAAAATTCAGAAAAAATTTGGCGTTACTGCTAAGCTGCTCAAAAAGCCATAGCGGTAACATTGCAAAGACATGGTAGATCAGAAAGCGAACATAACTGTAAGAAGGAGGATAAAAATCTGAATCAAATGGTACTTAAGTTGTCCATGAATTGGAGTTCTGTGGGTTTTAGCGAGCGATGAAAAAATCGGACAAAACTTTTGGGACAACCTAATATAAATCTAAGTCGAACCTCGCCCTACAGACTGATAACTCAAACTCGACAAAAGACATGAAAGCAAGAGATTTATTAACGATTAAACAGTGCACATTTTTTAAGACACTCTGTACAAAGGTCTGCGATCTATTAAGGCGAGAGAGTTATTATTTCAAAAATTATATTAGGTTGTCCGGAAATTAATGCAGGTTTTGAATTCCAACCGCAATAAGTCATACACTTTTCATTTTTGAGTAGATTCCAAAACACCATTCGATAGAACAAAGCAAGCTCTACAAAAAGGCTATTTTGCTTTTGCAACAGCTCTGATCCACCACGAGTTTCGAGCCAAAAACTAAAATGATTCAAGCGCCTGAAAAACTGAGAAAGATCATAACTCAGTTCATAGAAGTCCTGCAAAAATTCTTACTTGCTCACGTAACAGTATCCACAAAAGACATTTATATACGCTGTTGCCGTATTTTTTTCTCTCTTGGAAATCAAGAAAACGGAAATTTTCTTGCATTTGCCAAAGTGGTGCTGTGCCGTTCCCACATATTAGGTTGGCACATAAGTAATGCAACTTTTTATATAACTTCTGTCTATTTGAACGTAGCGCATTCATTTTTTGGCAATATAAGGAATATGATGTAAGCTTCTAATGCACACTTTTTCGCCGAACTTTACCATCTTATGTGAGGATTACGGTAAGTTTACGGTACTATGGGGAAAATTTTAGAATGCATCAGATTTTGCTGGAACTTGGCCTATAGGGCTTATATGACATGCTGATCACAAAAATGAGATCCGTTTCGCATGAAAAGGCCTCGTTCGTGAGATCAGAAGGTGAATTTTATTTTAGCGACAAATGAATATGATATTCGTGTTTATCGCATAGCATTACCCTATAGTGCAAAGTTATAGCGAATTCTGACTTTTCGCAGCTTAGTTATTGACAAATTGCCTTCAAAACTTGACGCATTTGACTTGTTCAACTTTTCAAAGGCGCCCCACCTTGATTTGTGTTTAAATTTCATTTCTTTTTCACTGATTCCAATGTGCCAACTTCCAGCTACATGCTGCCTATAAGCTTTTTCATATGTTTGAATCAGGTCTCGTAGGGCTTCATGTTTGCCAAAAAATCGTGAAACCTCAATTTTCAGCAGTTTTCAAAAAATGCTTAGATTTTTTGTACTACGTTATCAAAAATCAAACGGTTTGCGCAGACTTGCAGCTTACATCACGAACTAGATGATGCCACAAAATAAGATTGCTACATAAAATAGGAAAAAAGTCACGGGAAAAGTTGCAAAACTTATGTGCCAACCTAATAAGTAGTTGTATACTGCAAACCTGTGGAAGTATAAGCGTAAATTTCCAGCTCTCTACAGGCTTTAATTCTCGAGAAATTTGAATTTTAATTTGTACCACATGACTAGGGAAAACTGTATTTGATATTTCTCGAGAACTAAAGCTTGTAGAGAGCTGAAAATTTGCGTTTGTACTTGTACAAGTATGTAATATACAACTACTTATGTGGGAACGGCACAGCATTCCACTTTGCCAAATGCACGAAAATTTCCGTTTTCTCAATTTCTAACAGAGGAAAAAATACGGCAAAGGCGTATATAGATGTCTTATGTGGGTAGTGTTTATGTGAGCAAGTTAGAATTTTTGATTTTTATGAACTGAGCTACGATTTTTCTCAATTTTTCGGGCAGTTGAATCTTTTTAGTTTTTGGCTCGAAACTCGTGGTGGATCAGAGCTGTTGCTAAAGCAAGATTGCCACCTTGTAGAGATTGCTTTGATCTATCGAATGGTGTTTGGAACCTAATTAAAAATGAAAAAGTATGACCTGTTGCAGTTGAAATTCAAAACCTGCATTAATTTGCGGACAACCTAATACCAGTGGCGGTCCGAAGGGGGGGGGGGGTGGGGCGCCCCCCTCCCCCCGGGAATGGGTCGCGAAATTTTTGAAAATTACCTATATGGGTTATAAAAATGTGCAAACGACTTGTTTATTTTTGTAAATACCCTAATTTCACGCGTACAAGGCGCAGGGTGGTCCTTGCTTTCATCGACCAGCCCGAACACGGCAAAGGACTTTGCAACCAAAGGAACCCCATACCGTGCTGCGTTTTGCCTGACGAATCGTGCGGCATAAGGATTGCTTCTCAAAACACGTTGGGGCGGCTGAGCAGCTCGATGAAAGCTAGGACCACTCCGCGCCTTGTACGCGTGAAATTAGGGTAATTAGAATATTAGGTTGGCTCGAAAGTTCTTGCGTAATTCAAACAAAATTCAATAACTTTTCAATGACTGAACCTAAATTCACAATCTTGTTCTCTAAAAATATTAGAAGGCCTGCGCTCCAAGATGGATGTTTAAGCGCAAGATTTCATGAGCTAGCCCCCGAGAACGAAGCTCTCAAATATGGGACTTCAAAATTTGCAATTTTGAGTTTGGTGCCAGAAAATCGCAGAGTGCCGCTAGCTAGCCGAAAAAAATCTGTAAAAATTACTCACACTGCAGAAGTCCACACGTTATTTTAGCAGGCTTTAATCTCGCATGGAAATGCGAAAACAAAAAATTTGTGGAATTTGTCATTTTACAGGATAAATCCCCTTATCAATGTAATTTTTCCACAAAAACACAGTTTGCAACCAGAAATAAGACATTTGCCTATTTAGAACCTTGCGACGTTTTTTGGAGTGTAAAAAATTGTTTTTGCCGAAAAACTGCGGTAAATAGTGGATTTTTTCCGCAAAATGAATATTTCACGAATTTTTTGTTTTGCTTCACCGTACAAGATCAAAGCCTTCCAAAGTAACTTATGGACTTCTGCAGTGAAAGTAAATTTTACAGATTTTTTTCGGCTAGCTAGCGGCACTCTGCGATTTTCTGGCACCAAACTCAAAATTGCAAATTTTGAAGTCCCATATTTGAGAGCTTCGTTCTCGGGGGCTAGCTCATGAAATCTTGCGCTTAAACATCCATCATTGAGCGCAGGCCTTCTAATATTTTTAGAGAACAAGATTGTGAATTTAGGTTCAGTCATTGAAAAGTTATTGAATTTTGTTTGAAATAGCAAGAACTTTCGAGCCAACCTAATAATTTTTAAAAATTTTTAAAAATTCAAATTAGCCTTATAAAAATTTTTTTCGGAGGCATGGCTGACGCCACGCCTCCTTTTTCCAGATTTTAGGGGTTGGGGACCCGCAAAAATTTTGAGAAGCACCCCAAAAAAATTTTCGGAGTGCGTGGATGACGCCACGCACCTTCATTTGAAAAAAATTTTTGTCGCCCCCCCCCCCCCCGGTCCGAAATCCTGGGACCGCCACTGCCTATTACATATTTCCTA